CTTTACTCAGCAAGGAGAACGGGGTCGCTCTCGCTGCTGCCCCCTCCAAAGCATTAGTCGCCGTAGGTTTGCAGGGCGAATAGCGGATGGAGGTGGACCCTCCTCCTTTAGAGCAGCGCCCACTCAGACCTGCGATTAAAGGAGTTTCTGGGAATGGATAATTCTGCCCCCTCAAACGGCTGGCCGTCAATCCGGTGGTGGCATCTCCTCCTTCACGACTAAAGGGGGATAAGACAATAAAAATAGGAAGCCTGGAGGAGGCATCTACACCCAAGTCCTAATGACTAGATGGATTGTAGACTCCTCCAAGCAAATCTCAATCATACTCGCCAGTCCCAGGACCTGTACTTGCAGAACTTGGCGGAGCATGGTTATAAGGTAGAGATAGTCGCCGAGCCCTATATGATTTCCGAAAACCATTCGCGCTGGGCAGAGGATTCAACAGGTACAGCGGCTATCACCTGGTTTAAGGCAGCTGCCCCCCCCCCCTCTCTTCTCATTGCGCTCCGTTAAAGAGCAATGTGAGATGAGTGATGGTGGAACTGGGATAGGTGATGATCGGTACATACCTCCCCCCTCGGCTCACCCTGGCCGAGGTCGAGGCCTGGCTAGATCAAATGGGGAGCTGATTAGACAACAGCTCTCCCGGCCAATTGTGGTAGCCGAGGACTTTAATACCTGGTCCCTCAGTTGGGGCTCCAAACTAGCAAGTTCCCAGGGCCGCCTCGTAGAGGAGTGGGTGGTCAAACTTGACCTCGTGCTTTTGAATACCGATTCGAGGAGCACCTGCGACCGCCCGCATGGGGAGTCTATAGTTGACTTGACGTGGGCCTCCCCTGCTGCGGCGGCGCTGGTGACTGAGTGGAAAGTAACGGATATGAGAACCTTGTCAGAACATAACAACATCCTTATTGGTATCCAATCCGTCCTCCCGGAAGATACCAACGCAAAACAAGGCACCACGCGTCCCAGATAGGCCTTGAGGAAATTCAACTCTGACTTCCTGACGGCATCCTTGAAAGTCAAGACATGAGGAATATCGGCCTTTGGAATCGGTCGAAGGGTAGGCGGAACGTATGGTGATGCAGTATGGTGATGCGTCGTGCTTGTGACGCAGCCATGCTAAGAGCCAGATATCATCCCCCAAGATCCGCTTATGGGTGATCACTGCGGAGATTGCAGACCGCTATTCGTGCCAGACACAATTTTCAACGGTTCTGCAGGCGAGGGAACGATGCGGCCATCGTAGTGGAGGTCTGTGATGCCCTCTCTGCGGCTCGAAAGTCATTTCGGGCTGCGGTCAGGAAGGCTAATTGCGACGATTGGAGCGAGTTTCTGTCGGACTTGAACTGAGACCCCTGGGGACGCCCGTATAAAATTGTTCTCAATAAAATGAGACTCCCCCTGCACCCCATATTTCTCACAAGGGTGGTGGAGTTTTCGGTCAGGAAGGAGACTCTTCCTCCCTATCGGCTCGCCATCTGATTGGAGGAATGAGTTCAGGGTAACGACTGCCGAGCTGGAGGCGGCCGCCAAGAGTCCAAGGAGCTCGGGAGTCCAAAGCCCGCGGGCCGCAGTTCCAGGCAGGGTGTAGGCTATGGCGATGAATGAGTTAGCTCCCCAAATCAGGACCCTCTTTACGAGCCTCAAGGCCCGGTTTCCCTCAGCGTGGAAGAGGTCAACACTAGTTCTTCTGCATAAAGAAGGAAAACCGGCGGATTCCTCGGCAGCGTAGCGACCTGTATGCTTGCTGGACGAAATAGGGAAGTTATTCGAAAGAATAATCACCCGAATCGTCCAGCATTCCCAGAGCGGTCCAGATCCACACCGGTATCAATATGGTTTTCAGGAGGAACGCTTCACCATGAACGCAGTTCTGCGGATGCGCTCCCTCTCAGACCAGGGGACGGAGGGGGAGGATGGAGTTATGTTGGCTGTCTCACTAGATATAGTGAATGCCTTTAACTCGATGCCCTGGGAATACCCTCTGAAACGTAGTAGGGAGAGCAGCGATTGCCCACGAAATTCCTGGCTACATCTGTGAAGTCCTGGTGGATTATTTCCAGGACAGATCCGTAGAGTATACGGATCAGATCAGTACGCCGGGGAGTCATATGCTCAAGCGCGGGGTTTCACAGGGGTAGATACTGGGACCGCTCCTGCGGAACCTCGCCTATGATGAGGTCCTCCGCATTTCTTCCTCCTGGTTGCAGCCTCCTGGTTGTGCTACGCTGATAATGCTGAGGTAGTCCGTGGCCGAGATGGTGCGGAGGATACAGGTGCTAAATCTGGAGGTGGCTCCCAGCAAAATGGAAACCATGTTCTTCTATAGAAAGGCCTCTGGGAAGTCGCCTCTTACCAGGTAAGAATAGCTTGCGTCGAGGTAGATCCCAAGATGAAATACCTAGGGCTCCTTCTGGATAGCCTCTGGGAATTTGAAGATCACTTTGAGACCATAGTCCCTAGAGCGGACAGAATAGTGGCCGCGCTTGGCCACCTCCTGCCCAACATGGGTGGTCCAGGTGCTAAGACCAGGTATCTGTATATAAATATAGTGATATCGGTGCTCTTGTACGGAGCCTCAATGTGAGCCCAGGCCATGGAAGCCAATAGGCGAAAAATCAAATGCCTTGTTTACTCCGTGCAGCGAAAATTCGTTGTACAGGCTCGGATCTCTACCGCACATAGAGAACCTCACAGGGAGAGAGAGTGGCAAATTGCATCATGTGATCCGGTTTTCTCTGATTGGACCTGATCGTCAAGCTCCGTAGAGCCATGGTATACCAGATTAAATGATATGCAAAAATAATATGCTTGCCACCTTGTGCTGCAATTTTCTCCTCAACTTTACAATTGTTAAAGTCTTTGATACATATTATTAATCTTTGAAATATATACCTTCTTCTATTGTACATATATACATGAAATAAAACTATGAATTTTTACATTTCAGATATCTGAACAGGTTTTGTGCATATTATAAAATGCCTGCCAGATGCAGTGCTTCAAGATGCATAAACTCTAATAAAGAAGAATATTGCTGCATAACATATGCCTAAGATCCAAATTTGAGATAAAAATGGATTGATGCTGGAATTCCTAATTAGAAATCTTCAAAATCAGCTTTACTATATGACGTTGGTACCGAAGCGTGTGTACAAATGTTTTATGATACTCCTGTAAACACCAACAAAAATAACATCAATTATAATTTCTCACTCAATATATTAATATATTAAATTCAATGAAATAAATTCTGATCCCTTCAGATATCTGAAATGTAAAAATTTATAGTTTTATGTCATGTATATATATAATAAAGGAAGGTATATATTTCTAAAATTAATTTGTATCACTTACAAAGATCTGATCAATTGCAAAATTGAGAAGGAAATTGCAGCACAAGGTGACAAGCGTACTGCTTTTGCAATCATCTAACCTAAACGGCATACCCAGCATGGCGCTACGAAGCTTAACGACCAATCAGCGAAGACCGGGTCACGTGATGCAATTTGCCACTTTCTCCCTGTGAGGCTCTCTAACTATATCGTGTCACACGCGGCGGTTACCATCCTCGCGGGAACCCTTCCAGTGGATCTTGGCTAAGGATTGAATGTGCCAGAATATACTGGTGCTTTCACGAGATCCGCGGAAGGCTACTTCCACCGCGAGGATGATGACGTAATAAGAAGACAGGAGAGGAGGAGGACGATATGGAATTGGAAGAAAAAAGTTCTCCACCCGGATTCCCCCAGCCGCGTGACCACCCATGCCATCCAGCTGTGTCTGGCCAAATGGCTGGACAGGGCAAAGGCGGGCTGTCTTTCCACTTGGTGCAGATACTCTCCGGACATGGTTGCTTCGGAGAGTACCTATACCGAATTCAGAGTAAAGCGACACCAAAGTGTCACTGTGATGCTGAGGTCAATTCGGCACTCCACACTCTGACCGAATGTCCGGCCTGGGAGGTGAAGTGCCAAGCTTTCCTTGTCAGGATCATGGATAATGATCTCTCCCTCTCGAGCGTCATACTTAGAATGCTCGAGGGAGAGAAGCAATAGAAGGCGATATTCTCCTTTTGTGCCAATGTAATGGTGCAAACGGAAGATACAGAAAGAGTAAAGAGAGGAGAATCACTTCCCCCTCCTGAAGATCAGGTGGACGGTAATGGGCGTCCTCCATCTGGAAGGAAGTGTCATGCACCTCACCGGCCTGCACACTTGAGACAGTAGGACGAGTGGACCATCACTTATGTGAGACTTCTCACCTGTCAAACGAACAGCCGGGGATCCGACGTCTCCCGACTAAAAGCAGTTAATTCGACCAAAGGAGTCGGCGCGTAAGAACTTCGCCGTAACTCGGAGAATACTGGCAGCATGCCGATGACGATTCCCAACCTCCCCCACCTAGAATTGTCAGTCGACAATCGAGGGATTTTTAGTAGGTAGGCACCGGCTCTTGGCTCCCACCTCAGGGGGACCAAAGCCAGTGAATCCCACACTACCCCCAGCTTAGATTGAACGTGGGGTTGTTTCCCTCTTCATGGTGGGATGATTCCTTTGGGAATCGTCGCTCCATGAAAGGGGGTACAAAAATTTTCCTCTCGTTAAAAAAAAAAGATTATTACAGTGAATTAGATTTTAGATTATATTATATGTTTAATTTCTCACACCCACGCAAGCACGCACGCATTCACGCAGATGCGCACACAAAAATGAAATATTGCCCACTGATTTGTACAGAACAAACATGATAGTACTCAAGAAAAAAACATACGCATTTTAAATTAAAATTAGACAGTTTATTGTATATATATAAGATGTAGTAAAAAGAAATCCATTATTTTTCCAATAGATGGCTTTAGTAATCTGTATCTCGCGTTGTATAAATGCGATCGGGTTACGCTAGATGGCGTTAGAAAGATAAGATTTCGTACTAAAAAAACTTCTCAGACAGTTTTGTGATTGCTTGACTCAGTATTGTTTGAGCGCGCGTCAAAGATGGACACCAGCAAAGAGAAAATACGCCATATTTTACAGTTTTTCTTCGATAAAGGCGAAAACGCAAGCCAGGCAGCTGAAAATATGAATAGTATTTATGATCCTGATACTGTAACAGCCAATCACGCGCAATTTTGGTTTCGTCGATTCCATTCCGGTAATTTTGATGTTAAAGATGCACCACGCTCTGGAAAGCCAATTGTCGAAAATGTCGATAAAATAATGGAAATCGTCGAGTCCGACCGTCATGTAAGCACTGTTTCAATTGCCCAGGAGCTAAACATTGCACAAAAAACCGTTTGGAAGCACTTGAATAAGGCTGGATACAAAAAGAAGTATGAGTGCCACACGAGTTAACGCAAAAAAACCGCATAGACCGAATTTCCATCTGCGAATCGCTACTGAATCGCAACAAAATCAACCCATTTCTGAAGCGGATGGTGTCTGGTGATGAAAAGTGGGTCACTTATGACAATGTCAAGCGAAAACGGTCGTGGTCGAATCGCGGTGAGCTGGCGCAAACGGTGGCCAAGCCAGGATTGATGGTCAGGAAGGTTTTGCTGTGTGTTTGGTGGGATTGGCAGAGAATCATCTACTATGAGCTGCTCCCCTGCGGCCAAACTCTTAATTCGGATCTGTACTGTCAACAATTGGACCGTCTGAAGGAAGCAATCGTTCAGAAGCGGCCAGCGTTGGCCAATAGGAGAGGAATTGTGTTCCATCAGGACCACGCAAGGCCACACACATAGTGACTCGTCAGAAGCTCCTGGAGCTTGGTTGGGAGGTTCTTATGCATCCACCTTATAGTCCGAACCTGGCTCCAAGTGATTACCACCTGTTCCTGTCTATGGCGAATGATTTTGCTGATGAAAAATTCGCCTCAAGAGAAGCTTATGAAAATCGACTGTCCCAGTTTTTTGCCAATAGGGACGAGAGTTTCTATGAGAGAGGCATAATGGAATTACCTTCAAAATGGCAACCGAACTTTTTCAATAGGGATAGGTCGGGTGGCGCCATCCGTGTGTTCGATTGCGCGTTTGAAAGGTACATCCCTAGCTGACTTCCAGTAAAAATTTCATGACATTTGGTTCAGTGGAAACGAAGTTATGGCGTCTCAAGTGTCAGTATGTTGTATACATCGGTACGAGAATGAACTTCGAACAAAGAGCCAATATTAAGTTTTGTTTTAAACTTGGTAAAACATTTACCGAAACCCATAATTTGATGAAACAAGTTTATGGTGATAATTGTGTAGCCCGTGCCAGTGTTTATGAGTGGTATACGCGATTCAAGAACGGTCGTGAGGACATAAATGACGACGCACATACAGGTCGCCCAAAATCGACAATTAACGAAAATTCCATCGAAGTTGTGCGTAATTTCATCAAGCATGAGCCAAAATCTTCAGTGAGATACATGGAAATGGAATTGAACATCCCCAAATCAACGATTTATCGCATTTTGACCGAACATTTGGGCCTACAAAAAGTCTGTGCACGATTTGTTCCACACAAGTTGACTGACGACCAAAAAATGCATCGAATTCAACATTCAAAGGACATTATTAAGGAAGCAAAAAAGGACCAAAACTTCCTTTATAGCATTGTTACTGGTGACGAGACGTGGTGTTTTCAATACGATCCAGAAACCAAGCGTCAAAGCGCGGAATGGAAGGCGCGAAACGACCCAAAACCCAAAAAATCGCGTTTAGAGAAGTCAAAAGTGAAGACAATGCTCATTTGTTTTTATGATTCCAAGGGTATTGTGCACAAAGAATTCGTTCCAGCAGGCCAAACAGTTAATGCTGTATTCTATGTAAGCGTTTTGAAGCGTTTGGTGCACCGCATTCGTCGTATTCGGCCAGAATATCGCGAAGGAGGAAGTTGGCGCTTGTTACACGATAATGCGCCATCTCACCGTTCGACACTTGTCACTGATTTTTTGACTAAAAATCACATTTTAACAATCAACCATTCCCCGTATTCGCCTGATATGGCACCTTGTGACTTCTACCTATTCGGCAAAATGCATTTGTCCATGAAAGGAAAGCGGTATGTGGACGAAGACATCCAAAGGGCTTGTACCACTATTCTGAAGGACGTGCCTTTGAACGACATAAAACACTCATTTGAAATGCTTTTAGATCGTGCTAAACGTTGTATTGAGTCCGACGGGGACTACTTTGAATAAACAATTTGAATTTGAAAAAAAAAGTAAACCGTTGTTGTTTTATTTCAAAAGTTCGGAAAATTTTGGGACGCACCTTGTATATGACCGCCTCGAACTTCTAAGCTCGAACGGCGCGGCGCGCCTGCTAGGCTATTCCCACTCCTCGCGGCTCGTGCGCCATGCGCTCAGTGGGCCGTACCTTCGGCAATAATAGGTCGGGTGGATGTATGTATTCGATTATCTTTAAATGTTAATATCTCGTTAATTATTGCGAGCATTGCAAAATGATACAGCACTTTTCTACTCAGTTTAATCCGCTCTACCTACTCGGGACGAGTGGGACCATATATTCATGACATCCTGTATATAGCACGCATTTGTATAAACATTACAACATATTGTACATTATAATTCCTACATTTAGCAATTATATATCTTGCATGCAGTTATACTTTATACGAGTTATACTTTATATTTATACACTTATATTTTTATGTAGACTTTTACATTTTGACTTTATATTATTTAATTAATCGATGTATTAAAGAAATTATTACATATTTTTCAAAATTAGAATTAGAAATTAGTAACTTTAAATACATTGTTTGTACCTCTTTAGCTGAAACAGTAATAGATTCAGAAGCGCAAAAGGATTATTACAAATAGTTTAGATTTGAAAAATCATAAAGATCTAAAAAAAGAGAGTATCAATATTTCTACGCAAAGATATATATCATTTTCGTAATATATAATTATAGATATGCATCATATTGTAATAGTTGTAACAAAAATTGTAATTTCATTAAAATAATTTTTACAATACATTATCTTTTATTTTAAAAATACTTTATAGTATATACAGGGTGCGTCATCAAAATCCAGACAAATCTAAATTCATTTCAATTTAAATTTTCCACTATATTGTGCCTCTAAAGGTTGTTGTTAGCGTCCGAGAAAATTTGATGCTTCTAATAAATAGTCATATTCTCAAAATATCTGCAATGTTGAAACCAAGCGGAGTATAATCGAAAAGCCGCGATCATCGAAGGCCTTCGTGCTAGGTGTTCAGCAACGGAAATAATTCGGTTCTTTGAATACCCGAGATCAATCGTTTATGATTACGTTGTGGCAAAATATACGGCTTTAGAACAATCCAAAGAAGGTTCCAATATGCCAGCGAGGAAGAATTACTCGAAAGAACGCACCGCGAGGATCCCCGCTGTCGTTGAAAGAGCTCAAGCGCTGATTTCGGATGACCCAGGGTAATCGTTGCATGTTCTGATGGATGTGAAACCGTGGATGGAAAGGCGTCCGGAAGACCATATGTTTTTCAACAAGCACAGGTTCGGTGTACGAATCATGATTCAAAATTGACTCTCAGACAATGTCGATATGTTTTGGTCCAAGAAATTCTGGCCTCCCAACAGCCCAGATTTAAATCCCTTGGACTACTACGTATGGAGCGTAGTTGAAAGGGTCACAAACAAGTCTCGGTTGATCAATGTGACGTCATTAAGGACCGCTATTGAGGCAGCATTCGTTGGCATGAACAGTGCTAGATTACAACGTGCGTGCGAACGCTTCAGAGCGAGAATAGAGGCTGTCATTGAAACTAATGAGGGATATATCAAATAATTGTGCTCTACTTAAAGGATCTAGGGATTCTTGAATTATTTAGGCATTGAAGCTTTAGCTTCGACCGTTATAGGCTTGAATTTGCTTACTTAGTATCCAATATTTTATGTATAAATATTTTCTACATATCGTAAAAATTAGATTTTTCTATAATTATGCATGCGATAGCATATATCATAAAAGCTAATTTTTGTTGCACAATTGCGTTTCAAGTCGAATTGGCATATAATTTATAGAACTAAAAAATGTATTACTTGCAAATTTACATGTAAATATTATCGCTTCCAAAAAATAGAATTCTTTCTTTTATTTCATTTATTTTTGTCGATCTAATTTCTACTTGTGATGGTAATGAATTATGTACGCAAAGCATGGAGCGACGAAGGAAACTCGGTTCTCGAAATGTTTCCATTTATTCTGAACAAAGTACAAAACACGATTCCAGCTTAAGATCTAACGGATTACATTCTGCAAAATTACTTTTGTCCCTTATTGTGATCGTAAATAACTGATGAACGCGTCGCTCGGTGTAATTTAAAATAATTTAATTAAGGCAACTCTGTTGTATTACGCTATACATATTATCCTCCTCGCGTAGTATATATACGCGCGCGCGCGCGCGCGCGTGTGTGGTGTGTATTGTGTGTGTGAGTGTGGAAAAGCAAACCTGTAGGTCATTATTCGATACAATAAAATCAATCGTACACAATCGATTCAATGTGAGAGATTACACACGCGATTAACGGCACTTTTTCGCTCAAAAACGCGATATATTTACTAAATTCTACCTCGACTAGACTAGCAAGCGATCGAGATTTAAAATCGGTTTACGATTACACGTTGCTCATGTATTATGTACAACTTTCGCCGAAGCAAACATAGGGCGGGATTGCGGGAGTTGGGTTGGCTCGTCAAAGTCGACAAATATATTTTTTAATATACCTTAACGATTAAACTCCCGATTTGGCGTCATCGGCTATCCGAGTCTGTCGACACACAATAACGGTGTTGAATACAATAAATCATGTGTTCTGCCGGAATTATTTTTTTGTCGTTTCCTTGATGAAAAAGATTCTTATAATTAAAAAATTTTTTTATATATTTAATTTATGAAGAGATTAAAGATTTTTAAAAAAATATTTAAAATTTTTCAGATTTTACAGATTTTCTTAAAAAATTATTGAATGAAAAATCTTTGAATATATTTTAGAATTCATTTATATAAAAAATTGCAGTAAAAATGTAGTAATTCTGTTTCATTATTTTTAAAAAATGTATGTTCCAATTCGTACAAAAAATCTAAGAAATTTTCTAAAAAGTTATAAAATTTATGTAAAAATTATGACAAGTTATGTGAAAAATTCTAAGAAAATTTTTCGCCAAGGTTTTTTTAATAAATTGGAAGAGAATTATTGGATAAGATAATTTTGTTTGCCTAATAGTTCAAACATATATGATTACAATGATTATTTTGCGAGCTGAAAATCTCGAGAATTTTTAATAATCTTACTTTCAATTAGTTAATTTCTATCTTCTACGGTGAACGATTTATA